AGTGATAACAAAATTTGTAAATAGAGCATACCAAAATTTCCTAACAAATATTTTTAAGTGAAGACAAAACAAACACTAATCAACAATAATTTTCTCAACTACATCCATATTAGGCAAATAAAATTATTCTTATAAAAAATACATGATGCCAGTAACAAAAATACAACACCAGAAAACATCAACATATTTTATTGCAACCAGATGCACAATAATTATAAGCAGGATGAATTTGCTCTAAGGAAAGTCATTAAACACCATATTTCTACCGGAACCCTTGGAAAACAAAGTTCATAACAAAGAAATTGGAAGACTGCAAACCTTGTCGTCATCAACCGAAATAACCTCACCAACTCTAAATTAGCAGTGACAAATATAATGTACCAATTTCAATGCACAGTACAAAACTAATACTTGTCAAAAATCAATTACCTATATGGACACACCACGACCTCCTTAAGTAGATGTCTTGCCACCTCTCAAAGCAGAGTGTGATTAATAAACATTTAATAACTCATAATTTACAAGAACCTTTAAGAAAAATTCTAGTTGCTAACACAAAAATTCATTGAACATAGTTGTAGACAACTCCTCATTAGGGAAGCATTGCTGCTTAAATACCATTCTCCCACCATCAATCTTACACTATTTAGCAGTTGAGACAGTATGTTAAAGGTTTTCTAAAAATAAGACGTGATGCCCAGTTCAACTAGTCACATATAGCATGTGACTGCCAAATGATGAAGGCAACACAGAAATTATCCATCCAAAAAGAACATCCTTGATAATGGCTATAGGACTAGCCAAAAGTACTTGGAACAATTATAACTTTGCACAATTCTTATATAAACTCCTGAAAAAAAAAAATAAAAAAAAAAATAAAAAAGGGAACAATGTTAGAATGCTGGAAAAAACTCAATAAAAGAGTAAGTAAATCTTCCTTGTCAGCCGTTTTCAATGAAAAATATATTATATATTTCTTTACTGGACAAAGAAAAAAATAAAAAATAAAAAAATAAAAACTTATATATAAACACAAGAAAAATTAAAACTGCTTAACCACAGTAGCTTGTCAGTTGTTTTTAATGAAACTTGTATAAGAGATGGATTGCTGCCCAGATACAGAGACATAGGAATAATTTTCTTGTGCTCGCATTTGTATTTGACAACTATAGTCAATATCAATATTGACTAACTGGTTGGGTTGAATTTGCATGTAAAATAAGTGCTACAACCAAAACAGCTTTGCACTCTCATTTTTGGCTTACAGGTCTATTTCAATTAATAACTATATTCCTGGGGGTGGAGATGGGAGAAACATCTAAAGTAACTTTAATGTTGATTTCCTATTATACAAACTTTTTTTTTAATTATTGTATTATAGATATAGAAGTGTAAAGAGTAGTAATGAGAGTAACATTTTTTCAGGCTGAGTCACCAGTGATAGAAAATGATACTAATGAAACATTCCAATTTTTAGTAATCATTTCCACTCAATTAAAATGCACTTCAGTTTACCATGTATTGTGACAGCCACAATTTCATTAGTAAATGTTTTTATGTTAGACACTATTTTTTATCATAAATGCAAAGGTACACCCAGTTCTGGATGGTATTACTTTATTTCTTTACAATTTACAAAGGAGTGGTTAGATAACTTGTGTTTGTTTGCAGTCTTTGCCTTGTAGTGAACAGTTTGAAAGGCTTATTTTTGTGTTTAATGAATAATTTTCACTAAAATCCATGATTCACAAATATAAACATATACAAAATAAAAGTAGTTTAGTTATGGATGAAAATATATATTTACTGAATGTGGACTTTGAGAAGACAAAAATGCAATAAAGTGACAACTGTACAAGAGAGAGTGGGAGATGGAAACAAAGGTTTAAACTACATGATTGAGGTGGCAGAGAGAAAATAAATAAATAAAAAAAACTAATTAACAGAAATTATTTTCATTAGTAATGACACTGATCATTAGAGAGCCATTTGGTCTTAAATGTAGACTCATTCATCAAGGGAATAACTTTCATGCCTTTATCAAATGATTCTGTTTAAATAATAAAAATCAGTTGTACTTAACTGCCAAAAAGCAAAGGAATTTTTCATGTTATTCTCTCCTGTGATTACTCCACAGAAAGCTAACCAGAATATATCTTTAGAGTACAACTGCTACCAACTGTCTCATGTTTTTGTCTTTTACTACCTCCCAGACTCCTCAGTTTTTCAATACCATTGATGAACATTTTACAGACACACACATTATATATATATATATATATATATATACGATTCACTCATTTCAACTGGAAACAAAAGCCCCAATTTGGTATTGTTGGAAAGTACGAGAAATAATCTTTACAGCTGTAAATGTTTTTTTTTCTTTTTACAAAATACGCGAGTTTAGAATAATTTACTAAGACAAAACTGCCAACTAAAAATGCTACACAGATTTAGCTATGACTTATTCCATTTAACCAGAAATTATCAGATTTCATTGTTCTGTAGAACGTAGAACATTTCATTTTTAACATTTATATTATTAGAGGAGTTGGTGCACACTTCAGATATGTCATTATAAAGAGATAATTTTATTAAGAGAAAATACTAATGTAAATGTAACAGGTCAAGTTTTCAATATATAATTTTTGCTAGCAATTTATCTTCTCTGTTCATGACACAGGCTTCTACTCCAAATACATAAACAGTAAACCTGACCTGAATAAGCACTATGAAGACACCATTAAAATGATTTGTGAAGAAAACATTACAACAATTACTAAAAGTATATAGTTTGATTTATTTTAATACATGCCAAATTTTACAAAATATGGGATCTTCACATGAGCCAGACAACTATTTCTAGCTACAAGTAGCATGTTGATTGAAAGTCACCTGTCAAAATTTATGCCCTTAAAAACAATCCAACACCAAAATTGCAATAGCTAAAATGAAGTTAAAAAGAAATAATAAACCTCTAAATAATTTTACAATTGGAATGTAGGGTATAAAATTCACAAATATGTAATTAATCTCAATACAAATATCTATGTATTAAACATACAGAATTGTCAACTATTTAAAAAAGAAAAAAGGTAATTTCTGAAAATTTTCAGTTTTTCATTTAGTTTGTGTGCAATATAAACATTTAAGTTCTGAACAACTTAAAACAAACTATATTTATTAGTGTAAAGATTGTACTTTTTGCTTTCCAACAAAACTAAATTTGTTTATATACTATAAAGAAAAGGAAGGCACTTTTCTATGAGACTAAAGATTTATAGTAGAAATTGTATAAAAACTTTCAAACTTATATATAGCTGTAGGTATATAAGACATAAGGAATGTGCACAAATATAAAATATCTATTATACTCATGGCTTGACTTTGAGAACAAACCTAAATGTAAAAAAAAAATTCCGTTATAAAGTAATAATTAAAAGGAGCAAGGTTTATACCTCATCTTTGATGCACCAGGTTTAATATTCAAATAGATAACAATAATAAAACATGAAAGTTTCTTGTTAAATAAAACTTTTATGTTTAACAATTGTAAATTTTATTTCTTTTCAAAGTAAAAACAGGAAGATTGTTATTTTTAAATAACAATAACGACATATTGAAGTATCATTTTCTTTTACTATGTAGAAAGTGGTCTACATGTGAAAAAGTGATGTATAAAAAGTTCAAAAGATAATACAATGATTTATACAATGTGCTCGTTAAGTCATTAAATCAAGCATTAATAAGTTGGCATTCTTACCTTAGCATAGTAGGGAGTAATCCAACCAGGTTTGCACCTTTCATACTTAGATATATCATACACATTTTACATAAGTGTGTGTGTGTGTATATATTATATATACACACACACGACATATCCTGTATACAATGCATACATTGAAAATACCCTACATACATCTTTTATAGATTTATTAACACATACTGCCTTTTAATTTTTTTATATATAAAAAAACATATTATATACAATAATATTATGTATAAATATAATTATATACAATAATATTATGTATACATATATAATTATATATATTCAATAATATATACATAATACATAGAGTACACAAAGATTACATCAATAAAGGCGGTGGTGACAATTGGCTGGATGTAATTTAATAATCAGTTGTGCCCCTCTAATCACAATGCATACATTGTGTCCATTAAATGTACTCTACATAGTAGAGCACAATCACAAAGTGTACATTGTGAACATTCAAAGTTCTCTACACAGTAGAGTAAAGCACAAAAATGTACCTAGGTCAGTGGAGGTAAGAATTTTAAAAACTCATTCACCAAAAATTTTTCATATTGATTATTTGGAAGTTGGGATAGGGAACAAAAAAAAAAAAAAAAAAAAAAAAACTGAGTACATGACAGAATTTTGAGCTCAGCATTAAAAAAATAAGCAAGGAATTATACAAATTACAATTAAACCAAAAGTAAAAGTTGATTCTTCCAAATAACAATGAAGACACTGCGGAGGAGTAAAAACAGCAGCAGAGAAAAGTCTCATTTAAAAAAAAAAAAAATGTAAAGAAAAAGGTTAACAGAATGCCAACCATTAATTCAACATTTTTACAAATAATACTCAGAAAATCAATCAGCAAACTTAAATGTGTACATGGCGCGAGAGAGAGAGAGAGACAGAGAGAAAGAGAGTGTTTAGAATTAGATCACAAATGACAAAATCATTCCTTTGCCAGTTGGGAAGGAGAAAGTCACATTCACACACTCATGCAAAAATATCACACTTTCTTGTGCTCAAAAATTATTAGATACCCATTTATTTAAGAAAAGAGGCGATGAGGAAAGACTGTAGTTACAGAACCACAGGTAGTATTTAACTATCTTATTTCTTTGATAAGATAGCTAGCAAAGAAAATCTAAATTTTTACTGGACTGGTAGTGAGTTCCTTAAGCCAAAGTATTACATGTATGGCATGTGTGTATGTGGAGAATAAACATTGCACTAATTTGGG